AGAAAAAAGCACAGAGGGAAAGAGGAAATATCAGAGGAGATGGGTTAATTTTAAATAGGGTGATGAAGAAAGGCCTCCCTGAGAAGATGGTAAATCAGAAAGAAAATCAAAAATACAAGTCAGAGGATTATTCTAATATCTGAGGGCTGAGCATCCCAGGCAGTGAGAATAGCAGGGCCAATAGCTCTGGGGCACAAGCACCTCTCTTGTGTAATTTTTTAGTGATGATCAAAATCTTCTTGGTCCACATCAACTCTCCCTAACTTATCTGGTGGCTGATGTTTTTGGACCACCTGAAGTGCTGGAAGGCAGCACTATAAAATTTTAAGGTTGCAAAACTTTGATGAAATTTCTGGGAAAGCACTAACAACAAATGAGGAAAAACAAATGAATTTGGTATAATTTAAAATTAAATGTAATCAAATTTCACTGCATTGTACATTCAGAATACTAAAATTTTCTAAAATTAAAAGAAACTTGTTAAATGAGAATAATTTCAAGTAAAAGTGTCCTTTTCATTTGGTTTTCCCAGTGAATGCATAAAATGAGTTAAATCTCTGTTATTTTTTAAACCCTTAATGCCTCTCTTGATTCTAAAAGTGCAATTCCTATTGGTGGAAATTTTGAAAATTATATAAAAGAATAACAAATATAAACTTGTGGCCATATAACATTGAAAAAAACCCTGTTAATATTCGTATCTTTCCAGATAGATTTTCCTTTTATTTCTAGACTTTGTTGGTTTGACAGTAAAAAAAAAAAAAAAAGCTTATTTTAATTTGCATTTTTGTTACAAGTCTGAACAGTTTTTCATGTCATTTAATGGTCAGTTTTTATGTACCAACTTTCCTTTTGGCATCTTAGATTTTTCTTACTGATAGAATAAGTTCTTTTGATTGTAAGAAAATTGTGAAATGGCTTTGTCCAAGTTTGTTTATCTCCTATTTTTATGTGTGCTTGTTTGGTTGTTTTTGAGATGGAGTCTTGCTCTGTCACCCAGACTGGAGTGCAATGGGGCAATCTTGGCTCACTGCAACCTCCACCTCCTTGGTTCAAGCGATTCTTGTGCCTCAGCCTCCTGAGTAGCTTCGATTACAGGTGTATGTCACCATGCCCAGTTAATTTTTGTATTTTTATTAGAGATGTAGTTTCACCATGTTGGCCATGTTGGTCTCAAACTCCTGACCTCAAGTGATCCACCCTCCTCAGCCTCCCAAAGTGCTGGGATTACAGGTATGAGCCACCGCCGCTGGCCTAGTTTTGCATATTTTTATGCTCAGAGTTTACATTTCTATAGTCATGCACACTCAATTAAAGCAAAAAAAAAAAGGCTTATTTGCAACAATCTTTACTCTTCAGGGTCCTTTCAAATGTTACTGAAAACTTTTTTCTACAGGAGCCTCTCTCATCTGTTAACTATAATATACAGTTGAATCTCATAATAATGCAATAAGTAGAATCAAAATACTTTTTTTAATATTTCATATAGCAACAGCCTCATTATGTTGCCCAGGCTGGTCTCAAATTCCTGACCTCAAGCAATTTTCCTGCCTCAGCCTCCCAAAGTGCTGGTACTACAGGTGTGAACCACCAGGCTTGGCTGGGTCCACATTTTTAATCATGTAAAATGCAGAGTTGTTGCAAGGCTGTTGAAATGACTGGAGCAGCCCTCAACAGTCAGGCATTAAGGAGTCTGGCTGGGAGATCCAAATCCCTTTAGGTCCCCATTATAGTTTGGCATCATCTGGCCAGCATTTGCCACATCTCACTTAAATACAGCAGGGTAAGTTTAGCCCTCTGGACTACCTGGACCCGGCAGGAGAGTGATTCCAGAGTCTCCCTGGTAGTTGCTACCCATTTGTCCAGCCCTCTCTTAGTGAGTGGAGAGAATACTTGAAACGTAAGAGCCTCACTCCTTGCCTCCCTGCTTCCCATGACAAGCTCTCTTCCTTTTCCACACTGACCTTACTTACCATCTTCCCCTCTGTGGTTACTCCCCTTCCTTTCTCTCCATAAGGCAAGTTCCCTATATTATCATAAGAGTTATAAAACACACACTTGTAGTATATACCTTATATTCTCTCCCCCAAAATGGTAGCTTTGGTTTAGTTGATGATGATGGTGGCTTTATTTCCAGCGAATTGGGACAAAAGTAAAATTGGAGTAAAAACACTTCCCATCCATCCATCCAACCTTCCATCCATCCTTCCATCTATCCATCCATCCATCCATCCATCATCCATCCATCATCCCATCCATCCATCCTTCCATCCATCCTTTCTTCTATCCTTCCTAAAATAGTGAACCAGTTTTAGGATGGAGTTATTGTATTTGCTACAGCTGTGACATTCAGAACCCTGAGGCTGGCAAGGTTTTCACTACATGAGATATAAATGCTGAAAATATAATCAGAAAACTGGTTGGGTGAGGTGGCCATGCCCATGATCCCAGAACTTTAAAAGGCAGAGGCGGGAGGATCACTTGAGGCCAGGAGTTTGAGACCTGCCTGGGCAATATAGCAACATAGCAAGATTCTGTCTCTATAAAAAATAATTAGCAGGACATCATGGCCTGTGCTTGTAATCCCAGCTACTCTAGAGTGAGCTATAATCATGCCACTGCACTCCACTCCAGCCTGGACAACAGAGCAAGACTCCTCTACAAAGACAAAAAAACAGAATAACTAAGAAGTTGCTTTTTAAAATTTATTTCTGTTTGGTTAAATTCAAGTGAAACCAAAAAAAGGCACAGTAGAAACCCGACTATTTTATCCTATAACCTAAGCTTTTTATCAAGCCAGTCCCAATTACATTCACATGAAGAAAATTTTCACAAATTGCTTACTAAAGAGATATTACTGGGCTCTGGGTTGAAATTGCTTCCTGTGTGTCAGTTTACACATTTTATATACATTTTAAAAGCACCTACTCTATGAGATTGTGTGTGGATGTGTACATATATACTTAAAACACAAAAATGTAGATGGGAAGTATGCCAGTCAAAGGTCCAGCCAGGAGAACAGAAACTAGGCTAAGATTTTAAAATACTGGATATTTGATTCAAATAATTGGTTATAATAGGTGATCAGTTACATGTGATGGAAGAGCTGGACTATCAAAAGGAGATGATGAGGCAGTTTAGCAGCAGCAGGAAGAGATCCCTGGCCCTAAGGAAGAAGTTCAAAGAAAGAGAGCTGCTTCGGCATCCCAGAAGCTTTGTCTGGTAGGAGACAGAATCAAGGTGGAGTCTGCCTGGCAAAAGCTGGGCCTACAGAGGAATGTGACTTCTACTGGAGATGCCACTCAAGGTCAAGAGACAGGGAGAGAGAGTGAGAGAAGCGCCTGGTCTTCCCTTCTCCATACCTTCAAGCTCCTAACAGTACCTCTCACTGAGCAAACCCAGGGGAAGTCGTAACATAGCAAGAAAGCCTGAGAATGTAGAGAGGATCTCTCTCTCTCTGTCACCAGGCTGGAGTGCAGTGGTGCAATCTTGGCTCACTGCAACCTCTACCTCCTGGGTTCAAGCGACCCTCCCACCTCAGCCTCCTGGGTAGCTGGGACTACAGGTGCGTACCAACACACCCAACTAGCATTTGTTAATATTATCAGGTAGGCAGCCAGATAATCATTAGCTTATTTTCTGTCCATGTCTATATAGTTGGAATATTTCATGAGAAGCAATTATCATAGGAAAAACAGAAATGTTCTAGATTAATGGCAATAGTAAGCATCTTTATTGTTTTTCACCCTACTTCCCAAGGAAATGCCACACCTCTCTCAATGAACAGTAGCATCTTTGAGGAATTTTCAGACTCTGCTACTAAGTCCTTGGCATGAGGGTGTATTGAAGGCAAGGTGGGAGAGCAAGACAGGGAATGAATGGAGAGAGGCAAGGAGGAAAGGTGGCAAGAAAAGACTCAGGAGGAAGAGGATGACCATCAATTGCTGGGAGCTCTCCCAGAGCCTGCCTGCCTTTGAAACTTGGTTCAGTCACTTACTACCTGGGTGGCTTTGAGCAAGTTCCTCCTTCCTGCCCCCCACCTCCATTTCCTCTTCCAGCAAATGTGAATGATAAGATGCTAAGAGCACCTAATTTTGAGGATTATTTTGAGGATGCAATGACTTCGCCCACAGGAAAACACTTCAAATTGTGTTGGCACATAGTATACTCTCAAGACATATTGGTTATGATAATTATTTTTTTATTATTTATCTTTACACCCTCAGTGCTGGCAGAATTTCTGTTGCTTAACAAACATTTGTTGAGATCAGATACGTAGAAAAAATTGTCATTTGTTTATTCAAGCTTTCCTGTGATATTCTGATCCTAGTTGAACATGCAGAAATAAATGTCTAAAACAGCACCTCGATTCTAGCCTACAACAGGACCAAGTTCACTGTGACCTCAGATAAGCTTGGCTAAAATATGACTTGAGTGGAGATAGTCACACTTCAGTGAAGAGAGAATCCCCTGCATAATGTCACCAGGAGAGCCAACCTCAATATTCTGCATTAAAGGGATGTTCCTCCAAATGAACGGAGCTGCAGGAAAATAATAGAGAAACTATTTTCCATAAAAGCAACTACTCTGGTTGAAAAGGCATTCTTCTCTAACGGATTCTATGGTATTTATGCTCTCTTAGCCTCCTCCCTGCAAGAACACAAGAAGGGTGCTCATACCCTGACCTTCTCTCAAATATGAGATATGAGGGCTTTGCTAGGAAGGAGGGCAGGCAGTGACCAGGACACCAGAATAAACTCGGAATGACAACTCATGGTAAGCCTGGTGTTAGACAAGGTGCCTTACAACACTTGTCCCAATCCACTCTCACATCGTGAGGTGGGAAACAACAGCAGAATTGACAGCTTAGGGATTGTTATGAGTATTGAACAAGATCATAGCTCCGGCAAAGGGTTCGGGACCCTGGCACATTCTAAGCTAAAGTTCAATGGATGTCATCTGTGATTAGTGTTATCATCCTACTTTATCCTTCTTTATAGGTCAAGAAACCAACTTGGAAAAACTAGGAAATTTCCCCAGTGTCACACAGCTAATAAACCAGTGGTAGAGTTGGATTTGAAGCCAGGTGAATTTACTCCTGAGCCCACCCAACATTGCTTCCCCCGGAAATGATGTTCATAGGAAGGTAAGCAGTTTAGTTTGGGGGAGAGTCCTGTAGGGTGGGCAGGATAGATATGGAATATCATGACATGCAAGCAATGCTTGAGTTATTGAAACCATTTTTAAAAGGTGAAAAGTCATTTTTGGCTATAGAAACACTGGAAGGGATTCGAATTGTCATTGAATTACAGAACTGGCAGTAATAAATGTCAGACAACTATCTTTGATATATTTAATTGGCTACGTTAATCATAAAATACTGACGGAAAAGAGGTGATTTAGAATGCCTGGCCAGAGTGAAAGCTTTTTTTTCAACCACTTATATAAAATTTAAAGTAAAGTTACTACCACCTCCTTTAAGAGGTATTTGGAGATTGTTGCATCCAGCCTCCCTGGCCTTCTTCCTTGAATGCTCTAAACACAATCTCACCTCAGGGCCTTTGCACCTGCACCTGCTATTTGTTATCACTGCCAGGAATTCTCTTCACCCAAATGTGTATATGGCATATCCCTCACAGCAAAGCCTCCCTTGACCCACCCCATACAAAGGATCGGTCCCACTAACACCCACCACTTCCTATCCGCTTTGCTCTACTTTATTTTTCTGTCTAGCATTTGTTACTGCCTGACATATATATTTTGAATTGATTTATTTCTGTTCTCTCTTCTTCCCTCCCTCCCTCTCTAAGCCCATGGAGGCAGGAACTTTGTACAGTATGATAACCCAGGCACGTAGAAAATGCCTGGCACATAGATGACCACTAGATATTTATTGAATGAATAAATGAATGCTCTGCCTCCTACCTGTTGAAAACACATCTTCTCTTAAAATTCTAGCTCCACATCCAGAAGTTTAGACAATGAGCAGCAATTAGATAGGTGTCCCTCACAATAATTTCCAGGTACCCCAATTTTAACTTTCAAAACTGCTCACAAAATAGTATTTGAAGACAAAAGTAGTCCCAGCAGCGTTCTAATCCTTCCAACTAACCCTCTACCAGTTTAGAAAAACTCCTGGCAATCCTCCTAGTTAACTGCATGCCACTTACTGCTGTATGTTACAGGCCCTCCAGTTTCTGTTGAAGCTGAGTATCGTTGCCATCTCCTGATCACTCAGTTTAAAGTCAAAGACCTGGAAAGGCAGGAATTTCAATACATCATTGGTAAGGCAGTTACTGTTGTGGTTGGAGACTGCCAGCCATTCTAGCAGGGGGTGAGCTTACATTCACAGCACAGACAGGCCACAGGAGTTTTTCCCATTATGTCCATGGGATACCAATTTCTGAAATTAGGTCCTACGCAAAGACTGCAATATTTGTAGTGTTCAGTGTTCCTGGTGGGTGGGGGAAGACCAGGCTTACAGGCACTAAACCCCAGGTGTGGACAGGCCCTGTGCTCCATGATAGGTCCTTCCAGAGAACAGTTCTCTAAGGACAGATAACACCTCCTCTGCTGCTGGGAGGTGAACAGGGAGGCCAGGACAGTGTGCTCTTGTGTGTGGCCCAGGACCTAGCTGCTTAGGGGAAACTGAGGGTCTTTTCAGTAGTGCGAGGCACAGCTGTGCTCAGACCAGACAGGGCTTCACCAGGCACTGCTCCCAGCATGTCGTTAGCCCATGGGTCATTCATCTCAACTCTACCGAGGTTAGCTCCCTGGGCTGGAAAATGATAGGTGGTGGGAAGGGAGGGGGCCCACAGACATTAACAAGCCTAGTGAGAGGTCTGCATGTCCCCTACTCCACTGAGGAATACCAGGGCCGACCAGCTTACCTGAATGTTCTCAACAATGCGTGCTGGTGTGACAGACTTGGGGATCACAATCACATTCCTCTGGATATGGAAACGGATCAGAACCTATGCAGAAAGGGGACATCATGTTTCCACTCAGCTACCAGGACCCCTCCTTTTATGGAAAGGAAGAATAAAACATCTCCTCAGCTCACTGTGGCTTCAGCTATAATCGCTAATATTGACTGAGCTAAGCTATTAGACATGTGCCAGTCCTCCGCTTGATTCTCTCTTTTCACCTTAGGGACAAACCTGTGATTGTCAGTTTTTAGGAATAAAGAAAGTGGCCTAGGGGTCATAAGGCTGATAAGTGGTAGAGTTGGCATCTGCACCCATATCCCTAAACTCCAAAGGCATGCTTTGCCGCTGAGCTGTAAGGCTTAACAGGAAGCTCTGAGACAGAAGCTTGTTCCAGTGACAGCTCTTGTGTTTCCTAGAGGTTCCAACAGACTTCAAAGGAAACACGAGGGCTTCAGCTCCTGTTTTCTTCTCCTTTAAGGAGTTAATTGAGGATAACACAAGAAATGAAACATGAGACTGGAAGAATGAGTTGCTGGATAAAAAGAAAAAGAAAAACATGGTACCTGGGCTGCAGTTTTTTTGTGCTTTGCAGCAATCTCCTTAATCTTGGGATCCTCCAGTAGAGAAGGGTCCTCTGGCTTGGCCCTAGGGGCAGAAAAAGATAACGATGTGAACAGTCACCATGGTTACCATGTGCAGATGGACACCACTCCAATCAGGGTTTCAAGAGTGATCATCAGAGCCTCTCCATCTGGAAGACAGGCAGGAGGACCTGGAAGTTTGGGTCCTTCCCACGGGCTCTCAGCATTTTGCAAAGGCTGGTTCACCCTTGAACCACTTCACCTGAAGTGGAAATACTCCCAGAGGGTCAAGCATGTCACCCTTGTTTGTTTGTGTGTTTAATTTCCATTTTTTCCCACTATCATCCCATTTAGGTGTACCAAACACATTACCTTAGACACATTTTTCTTTCCAGTGACTTACGGTCTCATACCAACATTTACCAATTATAAAATTATGTTTTTAAGATTATCAAGAGAAAGACCCACCCCTTGGAAGTCTCACCAAGGTCTATCCGGAGAGCCCAGGGGGCTGTAGGCTGTAATGGTGATGCCCTTGGAGTGGCAGTACTGGATCAGTTTCTCCTGCGTGAGGTAGGGGTGACACTCAACCTGCAATAGCAAACAGTCCTCAATATGGGGGAAGGTGGCTTATTTTTTGAGTTGTTCATAGGGAGTTCTACAACACAAAAAGACAACCAAGCAAAGGCCAAACACCTGCCCACTGATATACTTGCTAACTCACCCATGAGATCAGCCTTACACCTCCCCAAAGTATCCTGATCACTGACCCCTGAGATGAGACTCAGTACATAGCACTGAACTTTCCTCCCAATAAAACAGGGCAAGACCCTTACCCTTATACCACACAGAATTTACCTGGTTAGTCACTGGTTTATATTTCAGTCCAGGTTTGTTCAAGAGCCTCTCAATCTGGAAGTGGTTGAAATTGGAGATCCCAAGGGCTTTCACCAGACCCGCATCCACCAGCTCCTCCATGGCCTGTCATAGAAAAGAATACCTTTTTGGGCAGCCCCAGCAGGACTCCAGGTACCCTGGCTTGCCTTAGTCCTCCCTGGGGCAGAAATTGCTAAAGGGTCTACTGCAACAGAGTTAGCAGAAGGGTTCACAGGAAGTTTCAGTCCAGGGCCCTTCCAGCCCTACTGCCCCTCCTCAGCCCAAATAAAACTAGGAGTAACGGGTAAAGATTTTATGTGCTTGCCACTCTCACCTTATACATAGAGGTACATAAAAAATTATACTCTGTACATAGAGGAAATATGAAAGTTTTGTAATGCAAAAATAAAATATAAGTCAAAATTGACATTTGCAAGTTTATGAGATGATTTTATTTTTAAACAACCCACATGATAGCAGGGAGCTACTGTTGTGTTTGTGCATTGTACACCCAAACCTGGGTAAGCTGGGTTAGTCAGGAAGAGGCTGCAGCATGTGGAGAAGTCTCACTTGTGGATTCTGAGTCAATCTCTGCCACACCAACCATGGTTTGCTTTGCAGGAAGGTCATGCATCTAGATTATGCCCTGGCAGGGGCAGCTGGCCAAGAAGTTGCGTGGTGCTGAAACCTGACCCACTGCCTACATACCCAACCATGCTTCCTGCAGAAGTTTCTATACCCAAGGAAGGGAATATTTGTGTACTTATTAGCCTATATTGGGCATTTTCCAAACTTGCCCAAAGATATCATATATGTTAGCAGCACCTCCAATGCAACATGTATTTGTTAGCCATCTATTACATGTCCAGAAGTTGTCAGGATGTAAAAGTATATAATGTGCTTCCTTCTTCTGGGATTCTCATAGTCTGATTAAAGTGATAGGGTTCCCTTCTGTGGAATAATCAACCATGACACTGAGGCTGCCTTGATAACATGACAGTGGCATAGACAAAGTCAGGGAGGGCAGAGAAGGAAGAGATTCACAAAGCCTGCAGTTGTCAGGGGAGACCTTCAGGTAGAGTTTAAACTGAGCCTCAAGAAAAAAAAAAGAAAGAGAAAAGAGGGGAAAAGCATGAGCATATGAGACAGGAAGACAGGAGCAAAGGCTCAGAGGCAGGGAGGAGCATGAAATATTCAGGGAACACTTTATCCAGCCCTTCTCAACTTTGGCTGCAATTTGGAACCAGAGAGCTTTAAAAAATACTGGCTGGATCACGAGGTCAAGAGATCGAGACCATCCTGGTCAACATGGTGAAACCCCATCTCTACTAAAAATACAAAAAATTAGCTGGACATGGTGGTGCGCACCTGTAATCCCAGTTACTCGGGAGGCTGAGGCGGGAGAATTGCCTGAACCCAGGAGGCGGAGGTTGCGGTGAGCCGAGATCACACCATTGCACTCCAGCCTGGGTAACAAGAGTGAAATTCCATCTCAAAAAAAAAAAAAAAAAAAATACTGGCTGGATGCAGTGCCTCATGACTGTAATCTCAGCACTTTGGGAAGCTGAGACAAGAGGACTGATTGAGGCCAGGTGTTCGAGACCATCCTGGGCAACATAGCAGGACCCTGTCTCTACTAAAAAAAAGGATTGTTTTTGATTAGCTGGATGTGGTGGCTTGTACCTATGATCCCAGCTACTTTGGAGAATTGCTTGAGCCCAGGAGTCCGAGGCTGCACTGAGGTCTGATCATGCCATTGTACTCCAGCATAGGCAACAGAGCAAGACTTTCTCTAAATTAAAATCACCCATGCTGGGTTTCACCCCCAAGAGTTTCTTACCGATTTTGTCTGAGTTATAGCCTAGACACTGGGATTTTTTAACTCATCAGGTGATTCTAATGCATAGCCAACACTGAGAACCACTAGCGTAGATGAAGTTATTCAAATTGGGCAGTAGAGTTAAGAAGCTATGAAATCATAAGGTTCCCCAAAACTTCTGACTAGGCAATTAGATAAAATAAAAGGTTTTGTGCATCATAGGTCAGGTGAATTTGCCTGTATTAGAACTTGACTTCTTTATACATTTTTTCCTCCTCTCTGCTTCAGGATAGTCAATGAGGCTTCTACTGCACTGGCTGTGGATGTACATAACATCCGATGCTTACATATTCAACCCTGCTCCTTTCAAATCAGAGCCTCTGACCTTGATCACTGATATATTTTCATGCCTTTCAAATGTTTTATTTAGCAGTCATTCTTGTATTCATTCAGAAGACGTAACACTGTGAGAAGTAGGCTACATTGACATACTTGCCATACTTAATATCATCATGGGAGCTAGGGCAAAAAAATGTTATCAAATATAATGCAAATGGCCAGGTGTGGTGGCTCACACTTGTAACCCCAGCACTTTGGGAGGCCGAGGCTGGTAGATCACCTGAGGTCAGGAGTTCAAGACCAGCCTGGCCAACAGGGTGAAACCCCGTCTCTACTAAAAATAGAAAAATTAGCCAGGCATGGTAGCCTATGCTTGTAATCCCAGCTACCTGGGGGACTGAGGCAGGAGAATGGCTTTACTTGGTAGAGGAAGGTGGCAGTGAGCCAAGATTGTGCCACTCTACTCTAGCCTGGGCAACAGAGTGAGACTCCATCTCAAAAAAAGAATGTTGTTCTTGTGGATTAATGCTTTTGAACAAGCAATACACACACACAAAAGCTACATTTATTGAATCATATTAATTCTAAGCATTTCAGAAAGGTGAGGCTTAATACATTTTCACTTGTACAACACAATACAAACTTGCTACTACGTGCACCCCTGCACAGACAGCTGACAAGGTAACAAGATCAACTCTTGGAGTCATATGTCACTATTCATTTATAACTTATTCCTCACTTTGTTCTCCACTAGCATTCGCAAAAGGATATCATGGTATAACAAAAATTGACCAGAGAAAACATTTATCCCTTCATTCAATTTTGCACATGAATGCTGTGAAACAAGTCATGATTTGATCTGAGAAGCAGGGCGCTCAGGCTCCCTGATTTCTGGATGTGTGTCCACTGCCTGCCAACCACTGTGCTGATGGCTTTGGTGGTTCAACTTGTGATTCAGATGAGTCTGGGTCCAACCAGCTCTGCCACACACATTGTGATATTACCTGGGCAAGTCATCAACCAATCGAGGTTTCAAATGTCATTCTTTGTAAATGGGGATGTTAACCCTGCCTCATAGGGTTGTATGATAAAGTGGGCTTTATAACTAATGTTCCTGGCATGAAAACCATCTCAATCTTTATCACACCCTGAAAGATATATAATATTATTATGTATTATAAGACTTTATATTTTTAAGAAGAGAAAACTGAGGCCTACAAGAATTTAAAAACTTACCCTAGGTTATTCAGATGCTATGTGCAAACCCAGGCCCAAACTCCTTGTTCCAAATGCCTTCCCCTGGTTTGAGAACAGTATGTGTATTCCCCAAAGTGGAGTACATTGTATTTCCAGTCTTATTTGAAGACTCAGTATTAGCCTTGAAATATAAACAGTATCAGATGCACCCAAAAGCCAAAGGTGATGAGGAAGAAATTAGAAGAGCTAGAGAATCACAATGATGAAATTAGAAAGCATCAGGTACATGGCCTCTTTCAAACCAATGGGAAGTCTCACAGATAACTGAGGATTTCTCTCCCGGCACTTTTAGAGGAAGCTGAAACCTACCTCCCAGGCATCCAAGAATGTTGCTTTTCCAGCGATCACTTTACCTTCATCATCTTTGGGAAGAATGTCGTCCCCAGACTGTAAATACAGAATACAAAGTTGACTGGAATCTGCATCAGGGCACTGGTTCTATTCAACAAGGTTTCAGGATCCTGCCTCTTGCTAAATACCACAACTGCATACCACTTTTTCAAGCTCTGGAGTACACACTACAAGAACGAGACTTTAAATAACATCTCTACAGCTACTGTAGCATGTTAATCCTTATATGTTAGAAACTACTGGATTGACTTTATTTTTGAGATGGAGTTTCGCTCTTGTTACCCAGGCTGGAGTGCAATGGCGCGATCTCGGCTCACTGCAACCTCCGCCTCCTGGGTTCAGGCAATTCTCCTGCCTCAGCCTGTTGAGTAGCTGGGATTACAGGCACGCGCCACCGTGCCCAGCTAATTTTTTGTATTTTTAGTAGAGACGGGGTTTCTCCATGTTGACCAGGATGGTCTTGATCTCTTGACCTCGTGATCCACCCGCCTCGGCCTCCCAAAGTGCTGGGATTACAGGCATGAGCCACCGCACCCGGCCCCTACTGGATTGACTTTATGATCTGCCATTAGTACATTCCAGAAGCCACCATTATCACCATGGACATTAACCTCATACACCTAGATCCCATATACACCCAAGGGCAAACTTTCATTTCAATATTACTTGATAAGGATTAGCTCTCCAGGGAGTGGTTTTCTAGGGGAAGATAGTGACCAGCTTCTATCCTTGCAGCCTCTAGAAGAGGTGTGGAGTTAGGAATGGCAAGCCATCATCACCCCAGCTGCTTAGGAGGAGAGAGAGCTGGAAATCTGTCTCTCCCAACCCTCAGGAGCAGTAAGAGCAGAGCGCCAGGCAATGGGTACCTCGTTGAGTGCTGGCTACCTTCCAGCATCACCATACTTGGGCTTTTCTCCAAGATGCCACTCTTGGGGTGTGCTTTGCTTAATAAGATAATTAAGCCCTGGAATATAGTTATGCAAGAGTAACCCAAGAGATTTTCTGGGAGGGCAACCCTGGGGTGTGGAATCAAGACAAAGGTGATATGGCAGTTGCAACTTGTCTGGCTGTCAGAAATCATGGCTTCTCTCAGACATAACTGCAAGAAAACTCAGGCATGTGGTCACCTCAGCAGCACACATGGCCTCAGCCTCCCTTCCAGGCCAGTGTCTTTCTGCTCCAAGGTCTCTTCTTGACTACCTGCCATTCCCAATTATGAAGCGCAAAGCCTCCTGCTCCAGTCCACACTGCCCCCCAGCCCTTGTGCAGCTGCTATTTTCTGGCATCTGTTCAGAAACAAGAGGCTAAGAAAGGGAGCCACTCAAACCTTGAATCCTTGTGGCCAGACAATAAGATAGACGTCTAGATAGCTCAGTTTCAGGTCCTTGAGGGTCTTCTCACAGGCTTTTCTCACCAAGGGTCTCTCAAAGAAAGTGGCCCACAACTGCAAAGAGTGTGGCAATGAGCCATTAATACTGGGAAAACGAAGGGCCACATCATACTCATTGTCCCTGCTTTTTGATTTGCACCCTGATCTAACCTGACACAGGCCATTTATAACAAAACTGATTAAAATCCATGATGCAGTGTGGAAGATCACCAGGGCTCAGCATGTCAATGACATGTCTGTGTGTGTGTGTGTGTGTGTGTGTGTGTGTGTGTGTGAGAGAGAGAGAGAGAGAGAATGTGTGATCTGGCTCTGTCACCCAGGCTGGAGTGCAGTAGTGCTATCTTGGGTCACTGCAACCTCTGACTCATGGTTTCAAGTGAATTTTCTGCCTCAGCCTCCCAAGTAGATGGGACTACAGGTGCCTGCCACCACACCCATCTAATTTTTTTTTTTTTTTTTTTTTTTAGTAGAGACGGGGTTTTACCTTGTTAGGATGGTCTCGATCTCCTGATCTCATGATCTGCCTGCCTGAGCCTCCCAAAGTGCTGGGATTACAGGCATGAGCCACTGCGACTGGTCATGACATGTCTTAAGTGTTAAAAGCAATTTACTTTTTTCAACTCTCTTAGTATTCTATATGTCTCTCAGATCATTTCGTAAATATGGTCACAGATTTGATCGTTGTTTACCTGTGTCAGTCCCTTCCTCAGCTGTCAGCTCTCAGCGCAGGACTTGTGTCTAGCTTTTAAATGTCAAGCATACTTAGGCCTTTGGGAGCAGATGGCCCTTTATCTGACCTATCTAATAGGTACCTTATCAAGCCTATCAGGCCCTAAGTAATAACTTTACAAGGGCTTTATCCAGACTTGGCTGCTACACGGTGGGGTCTATTTGTCCCACCAGATGCATGCATTTTCCAAGTACCTAGAACTACCATTTGATCAGCAAGTTGTGTATAATGCAGATCCAGTGATTTTCAACCCCCTCAAACCCAATGTCCCCTTCTTTTTTATAACACTGTATACCTCGCCTTTCACTAGACCGAACAAAGAAAACCATATGTGACAATAAAAAAAAAAAAAAAATGCCCCTACTGTTTTCCAAAACGCCCCCTGGCTGAGAACCTCAGGGGCACCTTCGTTGAGACCCCAGTGCTGCAAGACAGGCTGCAGATCAAGCCGTGGCTGCACCCTTGGCCTCTGATGGGGAACAGGGGGGCCCAGAACAGCGCAGGGCTCTATGGAGCCAAGCCCACTGCGTGAAAACCAACCCACAGGCAGGTGAGGCAGCAGTGATAATGTTGAATCTCAATAACAGCTTGGAGTGTGTTGTAATACAATATTATTGTATCCATGGATGTTAACAAGGCAGAGATGAAAAGGGCTGGGGGAAAGAGTACATGTAGAAAAGGCTGACAGAGCACTTGCTGCTGACCCGACCCAGATACTTCTGCCTGCCTTGAAGTGAAGGCCTCCCACCAAATGCGCCACTTGCACCTTGCTGACAATGAAGAGGTCCTCCCGCTTCACAGCCTTCTCTTGGATCTTCTCTTGGATGGCTTCCCCAACTTCATGCTCATTCTGATACACATAGGCACAGTCAATGTGGCGATATCCTGCGTCAATGGCCACCTTCACAGCTTCTTTCACTTTGCCAACAGGAGACTGAAAGGCAGAAGGAAAGCCCATCACACATGTATTTTTTTTTTTTGGTAAGAGACGGGGTCTTGCCATGTTGCCCAGGCTGGCTGCACACTCCCAGGTTCAAGCAATCCTCCCACCTCCCGAGTAGCTGGAATTACACCACACTCAGCAACTATCATATTCTCTTATCCCCAGACCACCTTCAACAGGCTGCCCAGTTTTTCCCAACCAAGGCCTTACTGGGGTCTCATTTGCCAGGGGATATCTGGGAGGATACACACTTCAAAAAAGTTTTCAAAAGAAAAGAAGGAAAGTGAATTAATTGTATGATTATGGCCTTACGTCCTATCCTAGCTAAAGATCAGTTCCCTTCTCATGCAGGTTAGTCCTGACATGTTCTCAGGGGTGTGGGAGTGCAGGTGGCTCCACTGCAGCTTTCTGAAGACCCAGGTGAAAGCTCGACTCTAAATAACCCAGAGGGATTTTCAGCAACATCCCCACGTTAATAGGGAGCTGCAGAACGGTCATTACAGCATCAATCCCGATTCCAACACTTACTGGGTGCGTGGGCCTAAGCAGGTGATTCAGTCTCTCTAAACCTCGTCTGCAAAATGGGAAAAACAATAGCACCAGCCTCACGAGGCCTTTGTGGCAATGGCATGCTGCAATGAATGCTAAATTTTCAGCACGTCACCAGATATGCAGTTAAGTCTCAGTAGAGCCCGTCCATTATACAATGATCGTTTCAGAAAAAAAGGAGAAATACAAAACCTTATAGGAATAGAGCTTCTTTTCCATTCCTACAAGAAGAAATAGGGAAGGAGGGAGAGGGGGAGGAGGAGTAAGAGAGAGGAGCAAAAGAAGGGAAAGAAGAAAAGAAATAGTATTACCACATTTTGTTCTAACCCAGTCAAACCAATGGTGGGGGAAAAAGCACTTATACCTTGATCTCTGACAAAATAGTTTCTAAACCTCTTCTATTGTGAAATAACAAACATTGAAAAGTACACAAAACAGAGATGCACAGCTACCTACCACTGGGACAAGAAACGGGCTGCTGCCAGCCACCCAGAAGCACCCCTGTGCCCCCAGCTGCTATGCTATACCCTTCTGCACCTCCACTGCTAAGTTCATAATCCTTCGGTCTATCATCCCCACGTGCTGAAGACGGCTCCCTTCCTAATTCTCACATTCAATTCCAAAATTCTGAAACTGTCTGGAAAACTTACCCAGGGTGAGCGGATTCCCTGGAGATCTGGAAGTGAGTATTTGTTCCATTTATATAGATTGAAGCTCTGATTATGGGCAAACCTTGCTATTCAAGAAGAGATGCTGTGAATGAATCAAGCGGGAACTGATCTGAGCGCCCAGATGGACCAAGAGTGTATCCCGAGAATGACCCAGTGCTGCAACAGAGGGTCCTACCCTCCAGCCCAGGACAAGAGAGGGGAAAAATCAGGGTGCACAAATGCAAAGAGACTCAGCAGGGAGATTAGCCATGAGGGACAGGAGAGAAGAGAAACTCCAAAGTCTGCTTCTTCTAGTCACTAGTTAGTGTATTGCTATCATGGACGGAAATGGCAGAGAAGGCAGAGTGAGGTGGTGATGTAACAACTTCAAACTTGGCCTAAGAGAGGCTCAGGAACCTGCTTCACTGAGCCCTGGATGTGCCTTACCTCGTTTTGCCAGCTGACATTAACACAGCCAGGTGGAGTTCACAACTCCCAGCCCAGGCTCTCTGCAGTCCCAGCATGTTGCAGATTCCACTGTGTCCAGGAATGACCTAGGGATCTTGTTAAAGTGCAGATGCCCATGAGGTAGCCTGGGGTGGAGCCTGAGACTCTGCATTTTTTTTCTCTTTCCGTCTCTTCTCTTTCCTTCTCTTCTCTCTCTTCTCTTTCTCACAAGCTCTCACTTTGTTGCCCAGACTGTAGTGCAGTGGCGCAATCACCGCTCACTGCAGCCTTGACCTCTCAGGCTCGACTCTCAATCCCCACCTCGGCCTCCCAAGTGGCTGGGACTACAGGTGCATGCCACCATGCCCAGCTAATTTACTTCTTGGTAGAAATGGGGTCTTGCCATGTTGCCCAGGCTGGTCTCCAACTCCTGGGCTCAAGCAATCCTCCTGTCTCCATCTCCATCTCCCAAAGTGCTGGAATTACAAGCATGAGCCACCACACCCGGCCAGTTCTGCATTTCTAACAAGCTCTCCCGTCAGATGGATGCTGCTAGCCCAACTCCCACACCGTCATCTGCAGAGGGGTGCCAGGGACTTCCAGGTTTTCATCCTCTCCTCAACCACCCAGCCCACAACAAACCCACAGCCAAGACTCCGAGGAAACGTTAAGCCCAATTAAGTATCCTAGAGCCAGGGAGAGAAACTGCCCTGGAAAACAATTTGAAGGCCAACTGCTGCTTGAAATCTGATACTTGCTAAAACAGCTCTCCTCACTGCTGGGAAAAGCCAGCTTTGGAGCTATGCAGCCTGAAACAGAAAATAAAGCAACCTGAGTCCCGGCTCCAGGGCTGAATCTCACCTCTCCAAACCCCTGCCGGATCCCCAGGCTTTCCTGGCTGAATGCAGAGAGAAAACAGCCTAAGGCCCCTCCAGAGAAGAAGGGTGTGCAAAGATTTGCATATTTACCTTCCAAGTGCCCAGGCCCACAATGGGCATTTTAGCTTTGGTACTGAGCTCCACAAAGGTGGCCATGGTTGGTGCAGAAATGATTCTGAGTGAGCAGGTAGAAGTCTCACGTCCTGCTTTTTTTGTTGTTTTTGAGACGGAGTCTCGTTCTGTCGCCCAGGCTGGAGCGCAGTAATGTAATCTCGTCTCACTGCAACCTCTGTCTCCCAGGTTCAAGCAATTCTCCCTCAGCCTCCCGAGAAGCTGGGATTACAGACACCCACCACCACTCCTGGCTAACTGTTGTATTTTTAGTAGATTCGGGGTTTCACCGTGTTAGCCAGGCTGGTCTCAAATTCCTGACCTTAGGTGACCCACCACCTTGGCCTTCCAAAGTGCTGGGATTACAGGCGTGAGCCCCGTCCTGCTTAAGAAGGCTGGTGCAGCTGCAGTGGGAGGAGTTGGAGCCTGACCACAGTAGCTTCCCCGCCCTATCCAAACAGGAAATCCATTTTCGGCTTTTGTGAGATTGAGGATCACTGTGAATGAATTATGAAATGTGACAACCTTTGCAAAGTTCTACCTTAGATAACAGTAGTATTATCGGAGTTTTTGTTTGCTCATGATGACTCAACAAATTCAACACAGCCAAAAGTTGAAAAGTAGGGAGGGAGACAGGAAGGAAAGAAGAGTGGGGGGAGGGAAGGAAGGAATGAGGGAAAAGTAAGAAAGACAGAAAAGAGACAGAAAAAGAGGAGAGGAGGGAAGGAGGGAGGAAGGGAAGGAGGGATGGGAAAGAAAAGGAGAAAAAAATAAGAAAGAAGCCTGGCCGACATAGTGAAACCCTGTCTCTCCTAAAAATAGCCTGGTGTAGTGGCACAAGTCTGTGATCCCAGCTACTTGCAAGGCTGAGACAGGAGAATCATTGAACCTGGGAGGCGGAGGTTGCAGTGAGCCAAGATCGTGCCACCACACTCCAGCCTAGGTGACAGAGACCCTGTAAAAAAAAAAAAAGGAAGGAAGGAAAAAGGAAGAAAGGAGAGAGGGAGGGAGGGAGGGAGGGAGGGAAGGAAGGAAGGAAGGAAGGAAGGAAGGAAGGAAGGAAGGAAGGAAGGAAGGAAAAGCAAAGCAAAGCAAAAAAGCAAAGAAGGAAGAAAAAACAAGAGCTTTCTTTCCCTGTGATGGTTTCCTCTGTGAAATAGAGTCTAGGGAGGAGAGGTGAGAAGCAGCGTTTCCATTTTAAAAGCTGCAATTCTAGTTTCAGTGCAGAGAGGGTCAAATCCTGACCTGATTAGAATCAGCCGTAACTAGTTGGTAGTCAGAAATCTAGGGAACATGACACAGGCCTGTGCCATGCTGTGACAGGCCATGACAGGCCTGTGTCATGTCACAGCATCAGTTTCAGCCTGCAGGTAGTAGGTTTTTCTGTCTTTTATGTGTTCTTGTTTATGAGTTGGCTTTGGTTGAATCTTGAAATGGACTTTAATCTCTAGGCTGTGGCTTATGACAGCTCATAGAGGTCAATTGCACGTATGAGTGAAAAATCTTACACTTCACCGATGTTTGTTAAATTACTTCAACATTAGTAGTACATGCATGGGCCAGGCATGGTGGCTCATGTCTGTAATCCCAGCAGTTTGGGAGGCTGGGGCAGGCAGATCACTTGAGCTCAGGAGTTTGAGACCAGCCTGGCCAACATGGGAAACCCCGTCTCTGCAAAAAAAAAAATCCGAAAATTAGCCGTGTGTGGTAACACATAACTGTAGTCCTAACTGCTTGGGAGGCTAAGGCATGATAATCACTTGAACCTGAGAGGTGGAGATTGCAGTGAGCCAAGATTGTGCCACTGCACTCCAGCCTGAGCGACAGAGTAAGACTCTGCCTCAAAAACAAATAAATACATACATGCATGGCTCATAATCTGGTGGCCACAAAGTCTCATGGATCTGCACATGAGGGCCCTTTATTTTCCCAGTGTATACCGGATGGCATGCAATGCCAGTATTGTTCAAATAGCAAATCCTTTGTGACTGTCAGCCTAAATAACAGAGAGTGTCCCTCAAAGAAAAGTATGTCTCTGGGAATAGAGCACTGCAATGGGAATATGTGTGCCACAGTAAACTATGTGTATATTTGGGGAAATAAAGAAAGACAACATTTTTTCAAGGAAAAAAAATGAAGATTATCTAATTGTTTTGAAATAATTAGACTTGGCTACAAAGACCTATCATGAAAGTGATGTTAGTCTGAGACTGGACAGGCAGTTGTTCAGAAGTCCTTGCAGAGTATGTTTTGTGTTCAGTTGCAGTGGCCTTTGTTCAAAGTTGTGGTTTTTGCAGTCTTTTGTGGTAGTTTTGGTTTTCAGGTGTACAACCATTAGAACCTTCTTTTTTTTTTTTAGATGGAGTTTTGCTCTTGTTACCCAGGCTGGAGTGCAATGGTGCGATCTCGGCTCACCGCAACCTCTGCCTCCTGGGTTCAAGCAATTCTCCTGCCTCAGCCTCCCGAGTAGCTGGGACTACAGGCGTTAGCTACCATGCCCAGCTAATTTTTGTATTTTTAGTAGAGACGGGGTTTCACCATGTTGACCAGGATGGTCTCGATCTCTTGACCTCGTGATCCACCCACCTCGGCCTCCCAAAGTGCTGGGATTACAGGCGTGAGCCACTGCACCTGGCCTAGAACCTTCTTTTCAGAGTCTCACTCTGTTGCCAGGCTGGAGTGCAGTGGCATGATCTTGGCTCACTGCAACCTCTACCCCCTAGGTTCAAGAGACTCTCCTGCCTCAGTCTCCTGAGTAGCTGGGACTACAGGTGCACACCACCACACCCAGCTAATTTTTGTATTTTTAGTAGAGATGGAGTTTCAGCATGTTGGCCAGGATTGTCTTGAACTCTTGACCTCGTGATACGCCCACCTCAGCCTCCCAAAGTGCTGGAATTACAGCCCTGAGCCACTGCACCTGACCTGTCAGAGTATTTTGTTTGTTTTTAACGTTAGTGACTCCATTTTGATTCTGACCATTTTCCCATGGCACACAGAATAAAGAAATGTGTATTAGTCATAATAATATTCCTTCTAGAACCACCTAACTGTGAATTGGTGAGGAGGGAGATCTCTTTGAGATAGTTGGGGTTAAGCTGGTTTTTGTGTAACAAACCAGCTGGTTATAACAGCAACAATTTATTTGCTCATGATTCTGTGGGCTGGCAATTTGGGCTGGAAGTAGCTAATGAGCCGGTCTCAGAACACACGTGGCTTCAGCGGGGCTTCCTCACCTCTTTGGGCTTCATTTGTGTGGGATGGGATGTCAGGGAAGGCAGGGACCCCTCTTCACATGTTTTTCGTTTTCCATGAGGCTAATTTAGACTTGTTCATACTAGCAGCCTTGTAGGAGGTCTACCCTTGGAATGTGTACAATGTTACTTTTGCCACCTTCTATTGATCAAAGCAAGTCTCAAGGCCAGAACAGGGCCAAGGAATAGGAGAATTGATTCGACTTCCTGAGGGGATTTGTTACAAAGAATTTTGGCTATTCTTAATCAATCCCAGAAGGTTTTTAATAAAAGCTTTATTAGCTACTTTCTAGCTTCATTAATTTACCAATCTATTCCTGGTTTTGTACCTTTAAGAAACTCTCATTTTTTAAATCTGATGATTATATGTGCATAAGAAGTTTTACTTTGTTAAAAATGAATACATACAAAAATTGAGAGAATTTTTTTTATTTTTATTTTTTTTTTCTTTTCTTTTCTTTTTTTTTTTTAAAGAAAGAGAAAGAGAAAAGGGGAGAGAGAACAGGAGTCTTGCTCTATTGCCCAGGCTGTAATGCAATCTAGAAATAGGTATTAAAAACCTCTTTTATGCTGATGATTGTGCTTAACAGCGGAGACAGGAAGGAATAAGGAAAGAAAATAACCAACAGCCAACCAATATTTTGTTTAAATCTGTGAAATGCTGTGCAAGTGCTGAAGAGTGATTTGCTTCCATTTATGTGGTCACTTTCAAAATAGGTGTAGGCCAGGCATGGTGGCTCAAGCCTGTAATCCCAGCACTTTGGGAGGCCGAGGCGGGTGGATCACAAGGTCAAGAGATCGAGACCATCCTGGTCAACATGGTGGAACCCCGTCTCTACTAAAAATATAAAAAATTAGCTGGGCATGGTGGTGCGTGCCTGTAATCCCAGCTACTCAGGAGGCTGAGGCAGGAGAATTGCCTGAACCCAGGAGGCGGAGGTTGCGGTGAGCCGAGATCGCGCCATTGCACTCCAGCCTGGGTAACAAGAGCGAAACTCTGTCTCAAAAAAGAAAAAAACAAAATAGGTGTAATATGATATTAAAAAAAAAAATGTATGTTCTGTGGTCCTGGGGTGAAGAATTCTACAAATATTCCACTGAGTTTACTTGTTCCAGGTCTGAGTTCAAATCGTAAATGTCTCTGTTAATTTTCTATCTCATTGATCTGTTGAATATTAACAATGTGGTGTTAAAGTCTCTTGCTATTAGTGTGGGAGTCCAAGTCTCTTTATAAGTCATTGAAAACTTGTCTTATAAATCTGGGTGCCCCTATATTGGGTATATATATATTTATGATCATTGGCTCCTATTGTTGCATTGATCTTTTTATCGTTATGTGATGTCCTTCTTTGTTTCTTTTAGTCTTGGTTACTATTGTCTATTTTGTCAGAGACGAACGTTACAACTCCTGTTTTTTTGTTTGTTTGTTTGTTTGTTTTGTTTTTCTTTCCTCTCCATTTGATTGGTGAGTCTTCCTCCAACCTTTTGTTTTGAGTCTTTGTGTGTTCTTGCTTATGAGATGGATCTGGATACAGAGTGCTGATGTGTTTTGACTTTTTATTTAGTTTGCGTGTCTGTGTCTTTGATGGGGGGGGTTAATCCATTTAAATTGAGGATTAATACTGATATTTGTGAGTTTAATATTGTCGTTTAATGCTAGCTGGCTATTTTGCCCATTGGTTGATATAGATTCTTCATTATGGAGATACTCTTTACCTTTTGGTAAGTTTTTGGGATGACTGATACTGGTTGTTCCTTTCTGTGTGCAGTGCTTCTTTCAGAAGCTCTTGTAGAGCAGGCCTGGTGGTGATGAAATCTCTGAGTGCTTGCTTGTTCGTGAAAAATTTTATTTTTCCTTCATTTATAAAGTTTAGTTTGGCTGGATATGAGATTCTGGGTTGAAAATTCTTTTCTTTGAGGATATTGAATATTAACCCCCACTCTCTTCTAGCTTGTAGGGTTTCTGCTGAGAAATCTGCTATAAGTCTGATAGGCTTCCCTTTATGGGTAACCTGACCATTCTCTCTAGGGAGAAAATTATTTTGTAGAAAAAAAATGAACGGGCTGGGCGCGGTGGCTCAAGCCTGTAATCCCAGCACTTTGGGAGGCCGAGGCGGGTGGATCACGAGGTCAAGAGATCGGGACCATCCTGGTCAACATGGTGAAACCACGTCTCTACTAAAAAATTAGCTGGGCATGGTGGCGCGTGCCTGTAATCCCAGCTACTCAGGAGGCTGAGGCAGGAGAATTGCCTGAACCCAGGAGGCGGAGGTTGCGGTGAGCCGAGATCACACCATTGCACTCCAGCCTGGGTAACAAGAGCGAAACTCCGTCTCAAAAAAAATAAAAAAAATAAAAAGAAAAAAAATGAACAAGGAGTAGTGCCATTTTTCATTCTCTCATCTATTTCTTTAAGAAACAGAGGCAGCAGCAATTAATATATCTGAGAAAGGGAGGAAAAGAACAATTCCAAAAATCGTGGGAGTGAAGGTAAGTTTCTGGGCAGGAGAACAGTGTGAGCCAAGCCGGGGGAGAGACTAAGACACATTGAAAGAACTGAAAACCAGTGTGAGGACGCTCAGAGAGTAGACTTACAGGGTACCCAGCAGAGGTACAGCTAGAGTGGTATGCAGGAACCCAAGGGTCAGGAGCTGCAAAGGGGGATCACGGAGGTGGATTTACCATACAAAACTTGACCTTCAGTCACCCTCCTGTGTATGAGCACCATCTTAGGCTTTATACCTAATACTGAATTCTTAATTTTTTATTCTTTTTATTTAAAGGAAAACCCCTGATCAGACACGGTGGCTCATACCTGTAATCCCAGCACTTTGGGAGGCTGAGGTGGGCAGATCACGAGGTCAGGAGATCGAGGCCATCCTGGCTAACAGAGTGAAACCCCATCTCCATTAAAAATATAAAAAATTAGCTGGGCGTGGTGGCACACACCTGTAGTCCCTGGGAGGTTGAGGCAGGAGAATCACTTGATCCCAGGAGGCAGAGGTTGCACTGAGCTGAGACCACACCACTGCACTCCAGCCTGGTGACAGAGCGAGACTCTGTCTCCAAAAAAAAAAAAAAAAAATATATATATATATATATATGAAGGAAAACCCCAATCGTACAACTTCAAGATCACAAAATCTGATCCACCCTGCATGTTAACTTTTTTTGCCTTTATTTGAAACCACCAAAGTTTTGTTTTTTCATTTTTCAAAAATCTTTTTATTATAAAATATTTTGAAAATTTGCAAAACTACAGGTCCTCACCTTCTCTCCTTGTGCTCTATTTGTTTTAAAAACCACATCATAGCTGGGTGTGGTGGCTCACCTGTAATCCCAGCACTTTGGTAGGCTGAGGCAGGAGGACCACTTGAGGCCAGAAGCAACATAGTGAGACCCTGCCTCTATGAAAAACACAATAAACAATTAGCTGGGCATGGTGGCACATGCCGGTAATCTCAGCTACTCAGGAGGCAGAGGTGAGATGATTGTTTTAGCCTCGGAGCCTGGAAGACAGAGTAAGAGACTGTCTCAAAAAAAAAAAAAAAAAAAAAAAATTACTTTCTCCTCTATGGTTTCCCACCACCTGGAGTCTACTGATTATTGCATTCCCAGAAATGTATTTAACATGTCACTCAATCCCCCAGGCATCTTGGCAACACTTAATAAGACCTAGAGACCTGATAAGATTCAGATCCATTTTGTTTTGTTTTGTTTTTGGCTACTTCCTATATGTTGTATTCTATTCTGGTGGAATGACTGACTGCCTCTTTATTTGTATTTATTTTATTGTATTATTTATAGTAGTCATTGATGATCATTACATAAATCTATTATTTCATTACATTACAAAACAGTGACATACTGATTCCACCATTCTTTCTTTTTTTTTTTGAGAGAGAGTTTCGCTCTTGTTACCCAGGCTGGAGTGCAATGGCATGATCTTGGCTCACCGCAACCTCTGCCTCCTGGATTCAAGTGATTCTCCTGCCTCAGCTTCCCAAGTAGCTGGGACTACAGGCACGTGCCACTATGCCCAGCTAATTTTTTTGTATTTTTAGTAGAGATGGGGTTTCACCATGTTGACCAGGATGGTCTCGATCTCTTGACCTTGTGATCCACCCGCCTCAGCCTCCCAAAGTGCTGGGATTATAGGTGTTCTTCATGTATTAGCTGGCATACTTCTTTAAGGTAAAATTTCTCCCAATCAATTAGTTGGCTACTTCTGAGGTATAGTTTGTATAAGAACACTGAATAATGATTGATTCATCATTTTATTTTAGTTTTTAAAATGAGGTTTCCAAGCACCCTCCAAGGTGACCAATTAGTTGTCATTTAGTGTTCTTTGCATTCATGAATTTAAATATATTTAATGTTATAATCTATTGCTATTTTCATTGATGCCCAAATTATTGTCTTTGCCACTGACAGCATTTCCAATTGGCTTTTGCATTCTTTTCACGTAGTCTTTATAGTCTTTGATTTTATTGCTTTCTTCTTCCAGACCTAGATTTATCCAAGGAGCCCTGGTTCCTTTTAGTGGAAACTGATATTTAGAAACCACAGGGCCGGGCGCGGTGGCTCAAGCCTGTAATCCCAGCACTTTGGGAGGCCGAGGTGGGTGGATCACGAGGTCTAGAGATCGAGACCAACCTGGTCAACATGGTGAAACCCCGTCTCTACTAAAATACAAAAAAATTAGCTGGGCATGGTGGCGCGTGCCTGTAATCCCGGCTACTCAGGAGGCTGAGGCAGGAGAATTGCCTGAACCCAGGGGGCGGAGGTTGCGGTGAGCCGAGATCGCGCCATTGCACTCCAGCCTGGGTAACAAGAGCGAAACTCGGTCTCAAAAAAAAAAAAAAAAAAAAAAGAAACCACAGTTTGGGAACTAGAATCATTCTTTGCAATTGAATTAAATCTCGCTTCCAGGCCTTTTCAGTGGAAAGAGGTAGAAAATACCTATTAGAAAACATACCATGAGTTCAAATGGACATTTCTGATTGAAGTTAAGAACTGCAAGGCTTAATCTCACCTGTCTTATCTGTCTCTTCATTCTCTCACACCGAGTATCTCACTCCCCAGAGACACAAACCTAATTGCTAATTCGCTTGATTCCACAATGTACATGCAATAGTATGAAAAATACAACACAACCTACACACTATCATTACAGAAAACAATTTTCACGTATTGAAAACAGATTAAAAGCCATTAGGCTTATTAATTCTGTGATCCCTAAAATTTGAGACAGGTCTCAGTTAATTTGGAAAGTTTATTTTGCCAAAGTTGAGGACACGCATCGTGACACAGCCTCACAAGGTCATGATGACATGTGGCTAAGGCAGTCAGAGCACAGTTTTGTTTTATACATTTTACGGAGACAGAGACATCAATTAACATATGTAAGATGAACATTGGTTCCATCCAGAAAGGCTGGACTACTCGAAGTGGGGAGGAGCCTTCCAGATCATAGGGAGATGAGAGACAAATGGTTGCATTCTTTTGAGTTTCTGATTAGCCTCTCCAAAAGAACCAATCAGATACGCATTTCTCTCAGTGAGCAGAGGGGTAACTTTGTTTATTTGTTTGTTTGCTTGAGATGGAATTTCACTCTTGTTGCCCAGGCTGGAGTGCAATGGTGCAATCTCAGCTCACTGCAATCTCTGCCTCATGGGTTCAAGCAATTCTCCTGCCTCAGCATCCCAAATAGCTGGGATTACAGGCATGTGCCATCATGCCTGGCTAATTTTTCGTATTTAGTAGAGATGGGGTTTCCCCATGATGGCCAGGCTGGTCTCGAACTCCTGACCTCAAGTGATCCACTCACCAAAAGTGCTGGGATTACAGGCATGAGCCACTCCCAAAGTGCTGGGATTACAGGTGTGGGCCACTGTGCCTAGCCCAGAGGGGTGACTTTGAATAGAATGGGAGGCAGGTTTGCTCTAGCAGTTCCCAGCTTGACATTTTCCTTTAGCTTAGTGATTCGGGGGGCCCACAATTTTTTTTTTCACCGTTCTATTTTGGTTTTAAGTTCCAGGGGGTCTTTTTTAAATGTTTTGTATTAGAATTATGTTCCAAAGCCAAATATGCACAGTTTCAAATTCAGATATGCAAATCAGGTTATTTTCAGAGCAGTCTGCTGTTTACCCCTGTCAGAATACTATGCAAAAAGACAATGGAGGAATATTTTTCTTAAATATTGAAGAAAAAGAACTTTAAACTCAGAATTTTCTATCCAGCCAAAGTGCCATTTAAATGTGAGACTATAATAATATTTATATGCATAAAAGCCTAAGAAAATTTATCTTACAATGACCTAAAGTCATTAAAATGTTTATGTTTTATTTCCTGCAAACAGAATGTTCTAGAATCTTCTGAATCAGGTTATCATTAAAATTAGTATTTATACAAAATACAAAAATAATTTTTAAGCATAAATCTTTAAATTTTTGATAAGCCATTAAACAACTACTATAAAATTCCAGTGGAACTGCGTCTCTACGTAACATAAATGGAGATTGAAAAAATAATAATTTATATAGGAGTTCATTCAGGGTGGTGAGGAAAATTGTAAGTTTATATACATGTGTGCTGTGAGAGTTAACTTCAGCAGGCCTGAATTGGCCTGATACATTTGATTAAAATAATAAAGGCATCTCCCTGGCATAAGATGTGAACCATAATGATTAACAGTGTGTCTCTGTGACTTTGGGTCTGAGGAGTTGTGTGGCAGTTTGTACCAGTTTTGTTGTTGATAACAATGAAATTGCTATTGTGCACATCAGTATAAACTCTCCTCTCTCTTTCTTGATGGTTATGTAGCAAGAAAATTCTGATATAGCCAGAAAGATTAGATTCTATTTCTGACCCTTTACTTTCAATGGATTCTGTACATATATTAGTGGTTCTGATTCAAGAGTGTCCTGGTATAACCCCTGGAGAAAGAAAGAAAACCTGGAGCCCAGATTAGCTCCCCCAGACTCTTTACTGGAGACAACCTTCAACTATTATGAATAGTTTCACTTTTATGGTATTTCTCTATTGTTTTCTTTTCCTGTAGCCAACTATAGATTTGTAAGCATTGCCAGTTTGGATCCAGTGACCCTTGCTTAGCATTTGAACCCCATCTAACTATGGAACCCAAGGCCTTCTACAACTGTGAAAGTGGCCTGGGGTGGAGAAGAAACTCTTCTTTTCCTCCTCCTCCTTCTTCCTCCTCCTCCTCCCCCCCACCTCCTCCTCTTCCTCCTTCATACTTTAAGTTCTGGGATACAGGTGCAGATTTGTTACATAAGTATACACGTGCCATGTGATTTGCTTTGCCCATCAATCCATCATGTACATTAGGTATTTCTCCTAATGCTATCTCTCCCCTAGCCCTCCCACCCCTCTTGACAGGCCTTCCTGTGTCCATGTGTTCTCATTGTTCAACTTCTTTTACTTCTACTGGATGCAAGGGCACACGGTATGTTACTGTCTAACCCTGATAATAAGCTGTTTGGGTGATAGAATTCATTTAGGGAGATGTGGGATGTGACTGCGGAAAGAATGCAAATTAAACTCCGATTAATATTGGAATATATGATGAAAATGCATAGAATGGTGGTATTTCTGTTATCTAAAAATATAACTGGTATGGATATAATCTCTGAAAGGAAATTCCTCCCCTTATTGTGTAAGATTAAAAAAATAACTTCGTAGATTTGTTTTCGTTCAGTACTAACTGGACATGGAAACTGGGAGCCTTGAGAGTTGCCTAAGCCAACTCGAATAGTAAATTTGAAACTATTAACAATCAATAAGAAATGACAGACCTAACTGTGGAAATACTAGATGCACATGTGTTAGCATACAAAAACAGAATGTACAATAGCCTGGCGTGGTCAGGAAGAAAGGCTGACAGTTCATGGCATGAAAGTTCACTTCACAGTAGAATAGAGGCAAAGCAAAACAGTGTTCCCAACAGCCTTGCCAGTACCTGATATGGTCCAGACTCTTCTATGGATACAACAAGATAAAGGCAACTGGTAATTGATCTGTAATTAATCTGGCTAATTCATCTCTCTACGTATCAGTCACCAAGGTGAGCCAACAATTTTCTCAGATGTGGAATGATCGCCTTCA